GGGCTGATGGAGGAGAAAAGGGGAAAAAATGGGGATCAAAACACAGATCCATTTGAATCAGTTTAGCCTGAGTGGTAATACTGAAACATAAGTGGTAGTTCAGTGATCCTGTAATGGTCAGAAGTTTTTGCTGAATTTTAAGGTAATCTTTTTGAGTGATAAGATGTTTTAAATTTTGAAGTAAACCTGAATTAGTGCATAGGCTGAACTCTTAAGTGATCTTAGAATTTTTAGCAGTTATATGGAATGTTTAAGATTACTACACTGAGAAAGTTCTTTTTGTATTAATTACCTCCCACAGGGAATAATAGCAAATCTATTCAATCTGGGAATCTTTAGTCCGTAAGGAAAAAAGTGTAGAATGTCCTTCGAGTCCTTTCCTAAAAATCTATTTTTTTTAGTGCCAAAATACTTTTGTGTAGGGGGCTGTTTTAAATCTACTTGTTTTGCGGGAGGGGAGATTGTAGAAAATGTAGGTTGGGTTTTTTTTTTGTAATGCAAAATATATAACTGTATATATAAAATATATAATTAAGTCTTAATGTATATTTTTGTATATACAATAAAATCATAAATTCTGAATTTTAAATGCCACTACTGCTAGCATATTTTACTTAAATTTTGTGTAGTTTTCTTCCCTCCTGCCCTTCGCTAACAGCCATCTTCTGCAAATAATAAATATAGTTGCCTACCCTTAAATAAATATATAGTTTAACAGCAAGTATGTTGACTTTGTTGGGTTGCTTGTAGATTAACTACGACCAAACGTACTCAGTATTAGGACTAAACCCATACTTCTCTGGCTGTGCGTGCATCACCAAGTAACTCCGCACGATAGGGCTGGAGTAGTAAACCAGAGTGGTTGGTACTGAAGCCACTGTGTCCATCCGATTTGTAGCTCGGGATGTTTGGGTTTTTTCCCTCCTTGAGAACAGGTTTAATCTTTTCTCCTAAACTTAATATCCACACCAGCATTGGCGCAAATTTGTCTGCAGATCCCGTCACCGGCTCTGACTCTGATGGCTCCTTGGGAGGCTGGGGCACATTTGGTGTGCACAGAGGAGCTTCTGGCTTAGTTTCTTCCAAAACGAAATTAATTTGCGTGCGCAAAACTCCACTGTGAACTAAATGTGCAACATGTGGGAATGATCAGAAAATTTGTTTCAAAACTGCTCTAAACCAAAATGTGAATACAGATGCAGCTTATTATCATCTTTAATATAGTGGCATAAAATCTTTCTCACTACTGTACACACAATACATTGAAACAGACATCTTTTGAAACAAAACAAAACCTTGAAACAAACATCTTTTTTAATGTTAACAGTGAAACGGTTTTGGTTTCGTTTCTGCACAGGCTTTTTTTAGGCTTTGCCTAAGGTTGCAATTCCATGACGACTTTAAATTGACAGGGGAGAGAATTTGCATTGAAGAGGGTTGTCCAATATTTCCTCTAGCCCCTTGTGTGATGGATTCCTGGTGAATCTGGTCTTGGCAACGACCTGGCTGAAAACTAACGTGCTCAGCCAGATCAGTTCCTCGATCCAGGCACTGCATGACTGCTAAAGCCTCAGTTGGGAAGGGAAGGGGACTGCATTGCCGTAGGAAGGGACGGTAGGTGTTTGGTCCGCTACTTTCATCAGTGGCTTTCACTTGTGGCTGCGTAAAGTGACCAGGGAACCAGAGCCTTAGTGGTGAAGGGCACAGGTCGTTCGAGCCGAGATCGCCAAGCGACATGGAGAAACGCAGCCTTGCGGAGACGTTTCTGTGCTGCGAGAATAGAGCAGCTCAAGTATGCTGCAAGTGATGTTAGTTGTAAAGATACTGCATCAGCTCTTAACACTATTATTTTGAAACCCCTAAAAACATGAGATCACTGTGTAAATGAAGCCTTACATATGCCTCAGCCCATGTAGCTGCTGTGTGCCTTTAATGCTCATTCGAAGTATGATACTCCTTAGTAGAGTAACATTTAGAGTGCTAGTCATTACTCTGTACTTACCTCAGATTTTGCTGAAACAAATGATAAAACCTTTATGTATCCTTAGTGTCTTGAAAATGGGATCCAAGAGCTGACAACCTGTGAGCACAATTTTTCAGTTAAATCCATAGAGACCCTTTACAGTTAGCCAGTAAAATAACCATGTATTTAATCATCACTGCTCCTCATTCTTTTTTATATGTAGATATTTCTTTCATTGACTCTTTCAAATCCCCTTCCTCAGCTTAATGGCAATTGCTCCCTTTATGGCCTGTCTGCAGTTTTATGGAAATTAATACAAAATGCCAGTGTAAAAATGGAGTGTGTTCTAATCCAATACACATACAGGAACAAAAAAGTAGTTAAATACTTATTTTTTCTAGACTAGCTCTGGCAAAAGTTTAGGTTAGGTTACATTTTTTTCAATAGACCCAGTTTTGTTTGCTTACCCAGCTTGAGTATCTGGTATCATTCATTCCGCAGATCATGCCAGTCACGTTTATCGCTAATGGTTTCTTTGTTCCTTTTTCAGAGCAAAGGATTGCCTTAAAGCCATCATGAAAAGAGTAAATCATAAAGTTCCCCATGTGGCTTTGCAAGCACTTACAGTGAGTAGATTATCACTATTTTCAAAAACCTTTGTGTTCTTTTATGTAATGCAGCTATTAAATGTGTACTGATCAATTAATACCTTCATATATTTTCAGTAGAAGTCAGCCAGAGTGTGCATGCTGAACAGAGGATTAAATTTAACTCTTTTTAAGTATGCTTTTATTTTGGATTATTTTCATTGTTGTCGTACATTTTCACAATTGTATTTCTGTGGTCAGCTTTTAGGAGCCTGCGTATCAAACTGTGGAAAAATATTTCACTTAGAAGTATGTTCACGTGATTTTGCTAGTGAAGCTCGAGGTATAATAAATAAGGTAATTTTTTATATCCTTAAGTACGGGGGGAGAATTATTTTGGTAACTTCTTTGCTTTGTCTCAGCATAGCAAAGAATTGGCAAAACTAGTGTTGTAGTTAATATGCATTTTCTAGTTTTGGTGTAATTGCAGATGCTGCTGGCTGTTTGTCTTATCACTGAAATTCATGAAATTTTTACTATGAAAATATAATATATTAAGGAAGTGACAAGCTACAAAATTACATGAGCAATTTTAATTAAAATCTGTGACTCTTCCTAAGCTCGATTAATTTGATAATGGTGAAGGCAGCTTTTCTTGAAGAGAGTTTTCATTTGGCTTGAATGAAATTCGTGGGCTGAAGTGCAAAGAGAAAACTGTGAGAAAGTTAAACTACATTTTTACAAGGAAAAGGATAAAGTCTTCAGATAACTAACTTAGTTTCCAGAGATTCTCAGAATGCTGAATGAGGAGGTAACCCAAGAAAGGAAGGCCTAAATGGTTAGGGTCAAGCAGCTGATGGGATCTAAATCTGGATGTAATCAATTGAATAAGCAGAAACAGCTTTCCCCTAATTACTGCTCCAGTTGAAGACAAAAATGGCTAATGGGTTAAAGAGAAGTTAGTCTTCAAATATATGGGAGGCCTGGAATCATCAGAGGTGGAGCAAAGCAATTAAGGAAACTAATAAAATTGCTGGGAAGCAAAATGAGTTCACAGCTCTTCTGTTTCTCGCTTTGCATGGAAAAATAGGTCTTAAAGTCCTCCCCTTTGTTCTCATTAGCCATGGTCCATTCTGAAATAGAACATTGACCTTCATGGTCTGACAGCACTTGTGGATGTAAAAACAAACCTTTAATCCCACTGAAGAATGGTCTACTGGAGCATAATTTATTTTGTTGTTGGGAAATACTTATGCCTTACCCATGTCCCTGGCCCACTTGGAGGAATAATCTTCAGAGGGCAGATAAAATTGTACTTTCTCCCTTTTCTCCAAAAAAAAAAAAAAAATTAGTTCAGACAAGTGTAACAAATGTCTTTGTGCTGATAGTGAGCCTCTCAAGCTACATCTCTTCTTTCAATTAAATGCATGTTTGAGCCCAAACTTGTCAACGTTCTTACTGTTCAGCACATGTTTACATGTGAGGCACAGGCTTCCAATGCGATCTGAACTGCACTCAAATGAGAAATGTTGGCCACGGACCACATTTGTGCGGTCCCAGGCTCTTATCCAGACAAGCCCAGTGAAACGGATGTAGGTGAGCCCAGCAGGCCCCAGAACACCGACTCACCAGCAAGTATCCTGAGGTTAGTTTGGATGCTTCGGGTTCGAAATATAGTCTTGTCATCAGCTGTCAACAAAACCAGAAAGTGTACGGAGTCTGAAGCGCTTTGGTCCATGTTTCACCCTCATAGTGTTGCCATGACCTTCACATATATTTTTGCTCTGTTGAAGAGTTGTTCTTTTTGCTCCAGTAAATTTTTTAAGGCTATTACATGATTGCAGGATTAACAGCAGCTGATGTTTAATGTGACTGAGGTATACTCTGAAGGGTGTTCCTTAGCCATACGGTGAAGTAATACATGACTCTGACCCGCTTTTCTGAAGGTGGGTTATCACTTTGGGTGAGGTTGTTAGCACAAAATTTGCAGCGTTGAATGAAATCAGTGGTCCTATGTGGATCTAGCGTAGCTGTAAATCCTGTGGATGAAGGTGGAGGAAGGGGAGCTGTCGAGGCTCTTTCGAGTGAGAGGCTAGAGAAGAATGTGGGAGCCAGAGGAATTGCAGGCAGAGCGTGAACTTGATCTTGGTTTGCCCCCGCTGCGAGCAAATATCTTCCTTTACCAGACTGTGTCCCTGCACCTCAGTTCCTAATTCAGGAGCTAATAATATGAACTGTCCCATGAGCCGGGTGACACTGTACATCATGTGTAATGCGCAGTTCCTTTCTGTGAGAGAATCTGAATCGAGTAGACATACGTGCATACGTATACACAGAGACGGTACAAAGATCAGGTTTTTGTGGGATCCTATCACCTGAGAAGTCAACAGGGAGAAGCGTGTTCTGGCATCTGAGGAGAAGACAGCAGAGGTCATAAAAGGTAGGGAAGGGGTATTGTCTTGTAGGGA